TTCTTTTTTTCTGGATTGGTGAGGAACTAAGGAGAATAGTATAACTTCTTATTGCTTTCATAAAATAATTGTTTTATGGTACATACTTGGTATTTTAGTAAATTATTGAGGCTAATGTTATGTAGCACCAACACCTCACGTTACGCAATAATATCCAATATTTAATTTTAAAAAAATTTAAATTTCGATATATTGAGACAAAATTTTAATATTAAATAGTATTTTTAATATTTATATATATGTGTATATATATTTTATGGGTCCGTCGGTTCTCATGTTGCTGCTGATGAGAAAAGTTTGTCAAAAATTGGATACTGGGTAATACATCTATATTCATTCATAATAATCATCTCCAAATGGAGGTATTTATACAGTAATGTTGGTTCTCAAACCATCCTAAAAATATGTAACAACCTGTAACAAACTTCTATAGATCAACAATTCTTATCTAATTCTATATTAACAAACATTTAAAATAAACTAACAACTTCTATCTTTTAACACTCCCCCTCAAGTTGGCGCATAGATATCAATCATGCCCAACTTGTTTGTTACTTCCTTCAAGCTTTTTCCAGACACTGCTTTAGTTAATACGTCAGCAATCTGCTCCTCGGATTTGATGTAAGGAGTGCTGATTATTTGTTGATCCAATTTCTCCTTGATGAAGTGTCTGTCTACCTCTACATGTTTTGTTCTATCATGCTGTACAGGGTTATGTGCAATTTCTATTGCAGCTTTGTTGTCACAATACAAACTCATCTTCTGATTGTTTTTGAATCCCAATTCATCCATCATAGTCTTAATCCATAGTAGTTCACATATACCATAGGCCATACCTCTAAATTCAGCTTCAGCACTGGATCTTGCCACCACCTTCTGTTTCTTGCTTCTCCATGTAACAAGGTTTCCTTCAACAAAAGTAAAGTATCCTGAGGTAGACTGTCTAGTAGTTCTGTCACCAGCCCAATCTGAGTCCGTATATCCTTCTATAATTCCTTTTTCATGTTTGGTAAATAAGATGCCTTTACCGGGAGATCCTTTTAGGTATCTCAAAATTCTATACACAGCTTTCAAATGATCTTCACTGGGAGAATGCATAAACCTGCTTACAACACTTACAGCATAAGAAATGTCTGGTCTAGTGTGAGAGAGATAAATTAATCTTCCTACTAACCTTTGATATAACCCAATTTCGGCTTCAGATTGACTTGGATATATCCCCAGGTTGTGATTCATTTCCATAGGTGTGTCTGCCGGTTTACAGGCAAGCATTCCAGTTTCTGATAAGAGATCTAATATATATTTCTTCTGGGACAATACTATTCCCTGTTGTGATCTAGCAACTTCAATCCCTAGAAAATATTTCAGTTGTCCCAGTTTTTTCATTTCAAATTCAGTGGCAAGTTGTTGTTCAAGAGATTTCATTTCTTCTTCATCATCTCCGGTGAGAACCATATCATCAACATATACTATAAGAATGGTGATTTTACCTCTTTGACGCTTAAAAAACAAGGTGTGATCTGCATTACTCTGGATATACCCAAACCTCTTCATTGCTAGTGATAATCTCCCAAACCATGCTCTTGGGGATTGTTTGAGACCATATAGTGCTCTTTTTAGCTTGCAAACTTTATTTTTATCTGATGTTGAGACCTTTACACCTGGTGGCAAGTCCATGTACACTTCCTCTTCCAAATCTCCATTTAAGAATGCATTTTTTACGTCAAATTGCCTCAGGGGCCAATCCCTATTGGCTGCCAAAGAGATCAGAATTCTTATTGTGTTTAGTTTTGCTACCGGAGCAAATGTTTCTTGGTAGTCCACGCCATATTTTTGAGTATACCCCTTTGCAACTAGTCTTGCCTTGTATCTATCTATGTTTCCGTCTGCTTTCAGCTTTACATTAAACACCCACTTGCAGCCAACGGTCTTCTTCCCTTGAGGTAGCAGAGTTAATTGCCAGGTAGAGTTTTTTTGAAGTGCTGCCATTTCTATATTTATAGCCTCCTTCCATTTAGGATCATTCAAGGCTTCCTGCACATTATTCGGAATACAAACACTGGACAATTGATTAGTAGCAAGAGCACATGATTCAGATAATTTATTTGTGGATATATAGTTGCTGATTGGGTATTTGGTCTTTGCTCTTGGGTCGGGTTCATAGAGATTTTTTGGTATTCCTTTGTTACTTCTAAGAGATTGTCTTAAAGGAGGGGGTGGAGTAGAATTAATAGGGCTAGAATGTACCTCATAATTTTCCTCAGGTTGTCTTTCAGGGAAATCCTCAGGTGATCTCTCGGGTGTATGCGTTAGACAAGGTGTTTCTCTTGGAGAGACTACTTCTGGTTCGGTTTCACTTGAAGGGAGAGCTTGAGATTCGTCTGGTGCAGTTTCCTTATTAGATTCGCAGATTATTTCTGAAGTAGGATGAGTGAGATCCAAAGGAGCACAAGGTATGACTTGTGTATACAGCCATGTGTCTTCTTCTCTAATATGAGTCTCCCCCTGAGAAGAAGAGACAGATCCTCCCCCTGAATAATAGGGGTGTAATTCATAAAATTTGGCTTCCAAAGTGACATACAGTTTGTGAGACACAGGATCATAACACCTATAGCCTTTCTGAGAGTTCGAATACCCAACAAAGATACATTTGCGTGCGCAAGGATCTAGTTTGTTCCGCAAAGGTTTTGGAAGATGGACATAAGTGGTACATCCAAAAATTCGAGGTTCAAGTTGGGTTACATGAGGAAGTGAGAAATGAGATTCAAGAATGGAAAGAGGAGTCTTAAAATTAAGAACACTAGAGGGAGTTCGGTTTATTAGGTATGCAGCAGAGGTGAGGGCTTCACCCCAATATCTAGTAGGGACATTCATTTCAAACAGAGAGGCTCGAACAACTTCGAGTAAGTGACGGTTTTTCCTTTCGGCCAAACCGTTTTGTTGAGGGGTGTAGGGACAAGATGTCTGATGTTTGATGCCATTTGTAAGTAAAAATTCAGCAAACATGCCATTAACATATTCGGTTCCATTGTCAGATTGAAGAATATGGATAGAGGAAGAATACTGGTTTTTTACCATAGCATGAAAATGTGTGAACGCAGAGAAAACATCTTTCTTGTTTTTAAGTAATGTTACCTAGATCATTCGTGTACATTCGTCAATAAAAGAGACATAATAATAGGAATTCGAAAGAGAAGAAATTTTAGCGGGTCCCCATAAATCAGAGTGCACAACTTGGAAGGGAATGGAACTTTTATTCAAACTTGGGGAAAAAGGGATTCGATGGCTCTTAGCCAAATCACAAACAGAACATTGGAAATCTGAAAATGATAAACAGGAAAATAAATGCGGAAATAATTTCTTAAGGTAACCGAAAGATGGATGTCCCAACCGCTTATGCCACAGCCAGATGGAAGCCTTGTTCTTGTCCAGTGTCGTGGTAGTGGCAGCAACCGAAGGAGCATTCTTATTGCCTGAAGTGTCCAGAAAGTAGAGCTTCCCTTGTCTAACACCATAGCCAAGGATCTCCTGATTTTGGTTTCCCTGAAATACACAAAAATCAGGCCAGAAAATTACATGACAATTCAATGCATTCGTTAATTTACTAACGGAAAGTAAATTAAAGTCCAAAGTAGGTACAACAAGAACATGATCAAGTGTCAGTCGAGGGGATAAGGAGAGGGTGCCTTGACCAGTAATGGGGGAAGTGCCCCCATTGGCAGTGGAAACATGGGATTGGGTAGAGGGATAGAAGGAGGAAAGATCAGTTTTATCACGAACCATGTGATCGGAGGCTCCAGTATCAATTATCCAAGTTGAATTCCGAGATAAAGTAGAGAAAGCAAAGGACTTACCCAGGAGGCCTTCATATACGGTATTGGCAGAGGGATTACCAGGGGAAGAAACACTGTCAGGGACGGTAGTCATGGCAGTGGTGGAGACATTCCGACGAGGTCGTTTGGTGAAGTCCCACCAGTCAGGATAGCCGATGAGTTCATAGCATTTGAGTTTCGAGTGACCCGTATCACCGCAATGAGAGCAACGAAGAGAACTGAACTTGGACGGGTCTTTGCGAGGCCGTTGAGACAGAGGACCAGAAGAGGGACGTGGTGTAGTGGTGACTAAAACAGAGGAGTCAGAAGTGGCAACAGATCGTCCCATAGTAAGACGCTGTTGGGCTTTGCGGCGAACATACGCGTACGTGCGTTCCAGGTCCAATTTGGGATCCTTGCGAAGGATTTCTCCTCGAACCGATTCGAATTCCTGATCCAGGCCATTGAGAAAGATGTGGACACGAAGTCTAGCCATGGACGCATGCATCTGAACCACACCAGCCACAGTCGCGTCTTGAGTCGTCGTTCGGTGATCAATTTCTTGAAAAATCGCGAGTAGATCAGTGTAGTAGACAGAGAGAGGACGACCATTTTGTTTAGTGTTGAAGGATCTCTGATTGAGATCAAACAAGCACGTTTCATCCGATCCATCATAGAAGGTTCGAAGAGCTGCATCCCAGACTTCATGAGCGGTGGCCAGCCGGAGGAAGCGTTGCATCAGGGACGGAGCCATGGATTCGATCAGCCAGCTCTTCACGCGGTTGTTGTCGGTGACCCAGGTGGCATGCGTAGGATCCGCAACCGGTGGCTTCGCCGTGGCACCTGTCAGAAAACCAGATTTGTTACGTGCGCCTATGCGCATTTCCATTAGCTGCGACCACAAAGGATAGTTGGTGTCATCCAACACAACCGTGACCGGAAATGAGGAATTATCATGGTGGATCACGATGTTGGAAGGATTGGGCGGTGCGGAAGAGGAGGTGGAGTCGATCTGGGTGTCGATTGGAGAGTCAGGAGTTACGGTGGTCATAGTGTTTAGGGCAAATGAATTTGGGGAAAAAAAATGTGGTACGGGTTCGGGTATGGATTCGGGTAGGGAGAATAAAAGAAAATTAAACGTGGGGAATATTCATAGAACAGGACACAAGGATCGAAAGCTCTGATACCATGTCAAAAATTGGATACTGGGTAATACATCTATATTCATTCATAATAATCATCTCCAAATGGAGGTATTTATACAGTAATGTTGGTTCTCAAACCATCCTAAAAATATGTAACAACCTGTAACAAACTTCTATAGATCAACAATTCTTATCTAATTCTATATTAACAAACATTTAAAATAAACTAACAACTTCTATCTTTTAACAAAGTTGCAGCAAATTTTTAACACTAGGATACACGTGCGGATCCTAGGATACACGTGCGGATCCTATCAAAACAAAAAAAACTAAAAAAATCCAGGATTCGGACGCGTATCCTGTGTTGCTGCAAATTTTCCCTTCTGCCAGTCACATAAGAATACTTTCCCCATATTTTATATATACATATCGAATTTCATTTTTGGGTGAAATTCGATATGTTGAGATGCAAAGGGTAGTGGGTGGGGGTTTCGGTTTTTCTTTCATTTGTTGAGGGAGAGAAGTCAAATTCCGTTTTCTGTGGGAAATTAAAGAACCCGTAGCAGGCGGTTTTGTTGCAAGCAAAAAAGAAGAGCTAAAAAGAATTGAAAAAATAATATTTAAAACTCAGTCACCTTAACTCATAGATAGGTTAGTTATATTTGATTACCATTATGAGTTGCCTTAGTTGACTATCTCGTGCAATAACAGCTAGTGTTTTTGTGTTAGGCAAGATATATTCTTGCTTCCACTTTGTCAAACTCATTTGATTGCTGGGAAGATGGCTTACTGCTTCTTGCTTTGAGTGTTACAGACTTACACCCATTCGTCGTACTCTTGTTTCTTTATATTTGCAACCCGATATTCTTGCTTCCACTTCTTGAAAATTCTATGTTAAGGTCTATATATTTACTACACGAACCTTACTTGTTGGATTTATTTAGATGGAATATTTTATTATTTATTATTGAATTGTGTTCATTTTTTGACGTATTTTTGTTTCTCTTGCTTAAAATCCAGGCCGTTTATTGAGTTATCAAATTCTCCATTGTTATCAGATTCTCAATTGTTATCGTCATTCTCCACTATCAAAATTATCATGAATAGATTGTATGATGGCCTTGCTAAAGTTCTTTTCATCCTACTTGAAAGGCCAGATACTAGTGAAAATGTACTTGAGTACGTTGCGGAGGTGATAAATTTAAGTGCTGATCCAATGGTAAATTATATATTACCAGAATTTAGAAAGACATTTTTTTTTAACGATGGTGAAATAGGATTCAGTAACTTCTTTCATATTTATTAATTTCTTTTCTTCATATTTAGTACCGAAAGTTTCTGTCTTTTTTAACTTTTTCTTTGTTATTTATCTTGTGAGAATACTGAATATGTATCATATTTTTTTAAAAACAGGATGACAACACTTTACGGGCAGGCACGCTTTTAAGTGTCAGTGCCGTCATGCTTCGTCTATGTGAGCCATTTTTAGATGCAAATTTAACAAAAAGGTTTGATCCAAAATACGTACATTGTTCAAACCGTTTGAAGCTAAGGTGAGGGATTTGTAAATTAAATAGTAAACTTCCCATGTAAGTTTCATGTATCTCTGTAGTGGTAATTTTTTATTGTAAGCCTGTTTTAGTGGGTTGGCTGCTCGTCGTATATCATCATCAGAAGAAGTTTCTGAATGGCTTGATAGTAAATACCCAGCTAAGGCTGAGGGGATCAATCAATATAATGATGCTCAACAATCTCAAGACGCCAGCAGTTCTCATGATGAAATTTGCGAAAGGTTCTTTTTAACTGCAAGAGTCCTCAACTTAGGCCTTATAAATGCATTTATTGAGTACGAATATTTAGTTCAGGTAATCACATGTCCCTTGTTTGGTTAGAATTAAAGATTGTTCGTATTATTATTTTATGGGAGCTAAGTTTTGATGTTGCCTTATTTCTTATGTGCTTCGAATGATTTCTTTCATGTTATGTAAAATATAAAATCTGGAGTCATATTATATCCAGGTTAATAGTGCGTGTGGTAAAGGTGTTCGTGAATTGGAACGACGCCTGTTTTACTCTCGCAAAATGCTTCGTTATGAAGCTCAGTTATTGGAGGTAGGTCTTATTTTATTTTCTCTTGTTGGAGTTGCTTGTTATTTCTATAAGCATGTGCACATGCAGTAATACACATGAAAATGAAATAAGTTTCTAGCTTAAATGCTTTTTTTAGCTTTTTAAAGTTTCAATATTGCATTTTGATTTTATTGGCTTCACATTATTTCCCTTAGGATAATAAACTGATTGGGAATGCACTTTCCTTCTACCGCGTGATGATTGTTTGGCTTCTTGACTTGGTTGGGGGAGCTAAGATGCCTCTACCACCAATTTTCCCAATGGAATTTGCTGCCCTACCGCAGTTTTTTGTATTAGATGCCATGGAAGTTCTAATATTTGCTTCTTGGATTCCAAAGGCATTAGATGGAGTGATGCTGGTAAACTTCACCTCCTCGAGTATTCCTTGGATTAATATTTATCTCCAAGTTCTTTTTATGCAGGATAATGCATTTACATTCTTGTTTTACAGGAGGAGTTCATGGATTTTATTGTTATGTTCATGGCCAGCCCTGAATTTATCAAAAATCAATATCTTAGTGAAAAAATGGTGAAAGTCTTGAACTGTTGGATGCCCAGTAAGAGGTAATTTGGTTTATGATAAAATTGGCATATTTGGTTATTATTATTATTATTATTATTATTATTATTATTATTTTTGTATTGCTAAATCTTGCTTGATGTCCCTGCCTTATTCCCTTTTTGCTGTAGCTTATCTACTACAGCTACTCTATTTGAAGGGCACCAATTGTCTCTTGAGTATCTTGTGAGGAATCTTCTAAAACTTTATGTTGACAGTGAGTTCACTAGTTCTGTACATGAGGTTAGTCTATATTTTAAGGCTGTGTTCCTGGCATGACGGGGTAATTTATTTTTTTTAAATGCCGTAAATGTTCTATATTGAAGGCGAGCTTCAGGGCAGTAGTAAAGTTGCTTCTTGTGACTGAAAGGTTATGGGTTTGAGTACAGAAAACAATTTCTTTGCAAGAATGCAAGGGTGACCTCATCCCTACCCTCGCAAGTCGGGGAGTGTTGTGCACCGAGAGTTTGCCGTAAATTTCTATAATAATATGAGGAATATATTTGAATTAATAACCTCTAGATTATTGTCTTGAAACTCAAGCTTGAGGATCAAAACGGGGTTCTATGTGAGTCATGTTTGTGGTCCTATTTGCTAAATGGTGACATAAGGTGGTTAAATAAATAGGTTTGATTATAATCCTACACATGTCATTGACTAGCAATGTCAGCGGAACTTATGAATTTTATTTCAACCTCTTTCATCATTTTTTGTAGCTTGTTGCTACTCACGGCAAGTGCACCGATCGTACAAGTAATATATGATTAAGTAAGAGATCGTTCCCACGAGGATTACGGTTCAAGCACTAATTCACTATCGCAACTTAGTTGGACAATCGAAAGTGTATTTGGAAACAGGATTTGAATTGCAAAATTAAAATATTAAATATTAAGCTAATTACTTGCGAGAATTAAAGACAAGAAATTAAAGATGTGATTTAACTAATAAAATAAAAACGTAGTTAGGGGTTCGATTTCCTTTAATCTCCTTATTATGATTCGAAGTCCTTCTTTACGTTAACCGTCCTTAATATCAATCTAACCAATTCTTTCGCGTGTTATTAGAGCTCAATCCCTTGTTACCCTAAAACCTTTACAAACTTGGAAGAACCCTAGTTCCCCGGTTATTCCCCAAGAATGCAAGCATTAAGTTCAAGAATCTTAAGGTTACGCAAATTCTATGTCTATCCCTAGAATCATAGCGTTTACGATGAAGTTATCAGATATGGATCACACACCAACATCCCTATTGTCATGCATTTATCGATGATCATTATATAAGATTCAAGCCTATATAAAGCATTAAAAACAGATAACTTCATTCATGATAAAAAGGAAAATTAACGTACGAATTGTTCAAAGCATAATAAATCGACTAAAATCCATCTAACCCTAACTACTTAAAGAACTAGCCGGACATAGCAAAATCAAGAACAAAAGAAAATAGAAAAGCTCCCCCAAACTCCATAGGTGATTGGTGAATCCTCAATATCTCCAGTGGAAGCTTGATGTCGATCCGTCTCCGCCGTTCACGAACATGAATCCGATGTTTCTCCGCGTTCCTTCGGCCTCCAAGCGTCCAGAATTGTTTTGTGATGTGAAAGTTATTCTTTTGGTTCCCAATGGTGTTTTTTTATAGGTCAAGAGTTCGTATCTTGATGAAACACCTTGAATGGGCCTAAGTTGGGTTTCTGGGGCGCTTAAGCTTGCTTCATCGCGCTTAAGCCCCCTAGAACGGTGATTGCAGAATTCGCGTTGCGCGCTTAAGCGCGATCTTCCAGTCAGAATTTTCTTCTTCCAGCGCGCTTAAGCCCTGAGTTAGGGGCTTAAGCGCCCATAGGCCGAGACTTTTTGCGTATTTTGGAGGCTTAAGCTTCCTTATTGGGGCTTAAGCTTCCATTGGCAGAGGCTATTGGCTTGTTTAGGAGGCTTAAGCTTCATGATGGAGGCTTAAGCTTCCTCTCTAACAACTTGATAAGATCTTAAATCTATCTTGTTTTTGATCTTCCTCTATCATCTCTTGATCTCATATCTTCTAGTTGTGATCTCTATATATCCAATCTTCATCTTTTGACTCCTTTTGTCAACAAATCCCTAAAAAATAGCAAGGATGATTCAATTAAACAAAAATTCAGATAATGTTCATGATTATCCTATTAAAACCCTAGTTTTTGACTTGTTTAATTAGATAATTCATATTATTTTAGTCCATAAAACAAGATAAACTAAAGGTTTATCATAACTCATAGTTTAATTCCCCAAACATGGTTTCCTATATACACACATATCGATAGGCATATTCCATTCCATGGATTTTAAAAATTTAAATAATTAATTTTTTTGTGTTGTTGAATTCAAGAAAGGACGTCTGTTGTTGACTAGCTATTGTCTTAATTGTCTATTGTTTGTTGTAGTTCAAAGACTTCCACCGTCATATAGCTGAACTCCTTGAATACCTGTGGCAGGTCCCTAGTCATCGTGATGCTTGGAGACAGGTAATGTTTTAAAAACATTTGAATTTTGTTATCTCACACCATACTAAGCTGTCTCTAATTTTCGCTAAACTTAATTTTCTTCCAGATTGTTGAAGAGGAGGAAAAGGACGTCTTTCTGAATTTCTTGAACTTTCTGATTGATAATAGTATTAATCTATTTGATGAAAGTCTGCACCAAATTCTTGATCACAAAAGGCAGGCAGTTGTAGCGGCTGAAGAGTTTACAAAGGTGAGTTTTTGGTCTAATATGTAATTATGTATCTGCGTTTGTTTTTAAATTTAAGTTATGTAATAAAGCATATAATGCTGGATAATTTTGCAGAGTATTCGGGTTGTTATTGGGTTGGTAAGTGAACATCTCAGGCTGCTTGCATTTGCTTCGGAGCATTTTACTGCTCCATTCCTTCTTCCTGAGATGGTAATTTTTCTCTATTTCCAACCCTTGCATGTTATTCATCTTGTCATTTCATAAAACAGTATTAGTGGCTAAAGTATAATGTTCCTCTGATATTTGCTATTCTGCTTATGAGTCTAATCTTATTTTCCCACTTTTACAAGGTTGGAAGTGTGGCTAGCAGGCTCAATCGCTTTTTGCTGCAATTGGTGAGTCCTCAGAGACAATTTCTTACTCTAGAAGACCACGAAATTTACGAATCTCGTCCAAAGAATTTGCTAAAGCAGGTTGGCATCAACTATTTTTTGAAATTTGTAGAGTGAGTACTTTTTCTCATGTTGATTAAGTATGACGGGAGAGATGGTATGCTATTCTTTTGCGGTCTATAGGTTTAAACATACCTGTATCAGGATTGGTCCTTATACTGTTTCTTTGATCATAGGAATTTGAAGAACTTCAATTTTGGGCTGGTTCCATTTTACATGATCTGGAATTTTGACTTTTGAGCCTTTGAAAAACCACTTATTGACTGTTGGAGATATAAAATCGTTCTCGGGCCTCTAGCTCTCTACCCAACCGCTTAAGTTTTAGGAAAGTTGGTCCTTGACATTGTATTAGAACCTTTAAGACCTGGTGAGGAGTTTAATTCTTGCCTCTTAGCCTCTTTTAGAGAAATATAATATAAAATCATTAACGTAGTTTTCACTTAACAGGTTAAGTTTTTATGTTCAATTGATTCCTTTATTTTTATTTTTATATTTAATATTAATGCTAGTTTGATTTGTCTTTTTCGGAGAGGGATGTGGGGAGGATTTCTCTTCAGATCATTTAAAAAAAGAGATATAGTTATCATTGAAGTTCCACTTTGGCACCAGAATCTTGTGTGTCATATATGTTACATGACACTAATGTATTACAAATAACTTTATTTTTTCATAGAAAATCATTAAACTTTAAATTATTCATTTGAAGATTGGGCGAGTATATGTTCATCTGGCTAGAGGTGACACAAAGTCCGTCTTCCCGGCTGCCATTTCAAAGGATAGTCAATCATATAATGATGAGGTAAGTTTTGTGAGACTTTTAGTATACTTCAAAATTGTTCTGTTTTACCATAAACAAATGCAATCTGACTGCGAATGTGCTGCAGTTGTTTTTTGCTGCAGCAAATGTCCTGTACAATTACAGAATTGATGATGGCGATGAGAGAATTTTCAGGGAATTTATTCAACTTGGTGCTAAAGCTAAATTTGCAGCTTCAGAGGCAGATGCCATGTATACCGAAGCTACTCTAGGAGAAATACCAGATGAATTCATTGATCCAATTAATGTATGATCTAGGCTTCTTTCTGTGTTTGTCTTTGAAATTTAATAGTTTTATGCTGGCTAGATGCATGTTTGGTTTCCATTATTTTTGTTGAAAGAATTGTTTTTTTTTTCCTTTACTTTTCTTTCAAAAGCTCTCATAAATTTTAATTATAGAGTGTTTTGAATGCATAAGTTGATCTAAACACAAACAAAGAGTGCATGACCTTTTTTGTTTATATTGTAGCGCACCTTGATGAAAGATCCAGTTCTGTTACCTCCCCCTTCAAACACGATAATTGATCGATCTGTCATTCAGAGGCTTCTTCTTACTAATAATGTATATACCTTTTGACCTTTTGTCCTCATTACTGATGTTCATATAGAGAAGAGGTTCTCTGGATTATTCTCTTCTGATTGCTTTATTTGTGCAGACTGACCCATTTACCCGTTTGGCACTCACTGCGGATATGCTGCGACCTGCTGGTGTACTAAAAGCAAAAATTGAGGAGTTTGTAAGATCTCGAATGAAGGATAGTAAATAAATAAACTTTCGTGATGCTCATGGTGCATTTTATTTTCATTGCCTTCTCTAAGCCAACATGAGAGACTTCAAAGGGAGTAATTAGTTTTGATTTAACTGAGATACAGAAGTCAAAATTGGTTCTGTTTGAGTACTTGCTAATTTGAATGAAATATTTTGTTTGAAGTAAAGTGTTGGTGTCCATTTCCCAAATATATTATTGTGCTCTGTTATGTCATTACTGCTGATATTGATCAAACAATTTCAATTGTTGTAACCTCCTTGAACTTGGTATTTTGTGATTTATTTTGTGCCAGTTTTTTTTCTTTTCATCAAATTTCCAGCATATAAGTAGCTCTATATTTGACTTGCTCAACAGTGTGTTTTGCCATATTCGTAGATTATTAGACTAAATCGGAATTGAAAGATATAGATTATGGACTGCCATGTATGTGAATTCATAATCACCCGCTGAACTTAATTTATCTAGCTAGCTTCTTACTGTTTTACTAGAACCTGTGAAAATTTGGAATAGCTAAACTTCAACTCCAATTTATCTTAATGACTGTTTGTAAGACTTGGACCTTCATGAAACTGCCTAACCTTGCCGTCTGTTGGACTGAAACTAAGATCCTGTAATAACTCTTTAAAGTCACCTATCATAATGACCGAATGAGTTGCTGCATAACTTTAGTCCAATTATAAATTGAGCAGTTGTTCAATTTTCAAGTTAACAATATGCGCGTTGTAGTGTCTGCTGTATATGATGTCCTCTAAATTAATAATACAGTAGTTGAACATATTATTAATTCAAGATGTAGTTTCTACCTGTCAATTAAGCTTTGAAATTTAAGGTATACTGTAGTTTCATAGATTGCATATAGAATATATCTGCCTTAATTTAAATCTGTTTTATTTTCTATTCTTTTGTTAAACTTGAATGTTAACAAAAAAATAAAAAGACATCTCTTAGAGTTTAAGTCGGAATATAGTCTGAAAGGAAATAATCGTACTTGTGCCTAAAACATTCGGTATTGACATTGTTGGGGTATACCCCTGAGAGAAGAGAACAGAGAACAAAAAGAATGGTTATTCAGAATTTTATTCAGATAGATTTTTAAATGAAAACCACATCCCCTTTATAATACCCATCACATAAGAGCTACTCTACAAACTCTACACGTTCTGCTCACATGTCCAACTATTAACTCAGTCAGTAAGGCTCCGCTGACATGTACAACTATTACACACTCAATGAGATTATGTGTATCACTCAGTAAGACTAACTGAGCTTCTTTTGACACGGATTGATTTCCTAGCTGTAACATTCCCCACTCCTTCAAATTGGACCTTGTCCTCAAGGTCAAAAGTGTTGAAGAGAAGATTCAAATTCTAAATTTAAATGTTTGTTGTAAACAATATCATCAAATTAGGAATTCTAGAAGTTTGTTAAGTTTGTTATTTTCTAATTTGTTATTTACTAATTTGTTAGGATCCTCTGTATAACTTCAGAAGTATTTCTTACTGTGTATAAATACTCCTCACGTTGAGTAAAATAGATAAATGAGAATTATCATTTCTTGACATGGTATCAAGAGCATTGTTTTGATCCTGGTTAACCCACCTGTTTTTTTTTACGCAAAAAATAGAACGAAAAATCCTTTCTCTTGTTTTTTTTCCACCCGATACCCAACGACCCAACGAAACCAATTTTTTTTCTCACCCAAACCCAACCCATTCCTCAGTAACCCAACCCGGTTCTTCTATTCCCATACTTTCCACTCTCTTCTTTTTTTCCCCAATTTCCTTCACACCCTAATCTTCCTCACCGCCATGGACACCAACTCCATTGAAAATACCGATCCCAATGTCATCCACCTTTCATCCACCACACCTCCACCGCCCCAAAATATTGTTATTCATCAAGACCATTCACCCCTCCCTCTCACCGTCATTCTCGATGAAACAAATTTTCCCCTTTGGTCACAACTCATGGATATGAGAATTGGTGCCCGAAATAAAACCGGATTCCTCACTGGTACCACTCTCAAACCACAACCTGATGACCCCTCTCTTGAATCCTGGATCACCGACAACAAGAGAGTCAAAAGCTGGTTGATTGACTCCATGAGCCCCAGCCTGATGCACCGATTCATTCGATTGGAGACTGCATGTGAAATCTGGGAGGCAGCTTCCAAAACTTTCTACGATGGTTCCGATGAGTCATGTCTCTTCGATCTTAACCAGAAATCCTTCACCATGAAACAATTTGGTCGTCCACTTGCTGTTTATTACAATGAACTCTTAGCCATATTCCAAGAGATCGACCATCGCAGTTCTTCCTCTACTTCTGTTCCTGATTTGGTACAACAACACTCTGCTCTGTCTCGTCTCCGTGTCCACATTTTCCTTGCTGGCCTTGACCCAGAATTTGATACTGTTCGCAGTGAAATACTCTGTAAAGACCCGAAGCTTGACCTGGAGAGCTCCTACGCCTATGTCCGTCGTGATTACCAGCAGCGGCATACCATGAATTCTTCCAAGCATCCCACTGATGCCTCATCCTTTATTGCTCACCCTTCTCGGCCCATTTCCTCCCAACACACAAAGCCTCGCCGAGAAAATGTCCCTCCTCACAAGTCCACCTTCCTTTGTTCTCATTGTGGTGAATCTGGACATTCCAAGCAACGTTGCTATGAGGTAATTGGATATCCGGACTGGTGGGACTTCACTAAACGTCCCCGGAAGAAGATTCCACCGAAGGCCAACCTCACTCTTACGGATGATGCACCTTCAACTCCACAGGCCAATGTTGTCCAGAGCAGCATCCTAGGTAACTCTCTTGTCCTTTCTGCTCTTTCTACGAATACTATTTGGATAATTGATACTGGCGCTTCTAATCATATGGTTCGTGATTCTTCCTTGCTCAAAAATTTTCAATCATGCTCTAAACCTTTTATTTCTACTGCCAACGGTGGAACCTCACCCATTTCTGGCCAAGGTTTAATTTCGTTATCCCCTGCATTACACTTATCCTCGGTTTTATGCGTACCCACCCTTGAATTTAATCTGTTATCTGTGAGTCGTTTAACCTCTGATTTACAATGTAGTGTCACGTTTTTTCCTTCCTACTGTATTTTTCAGGACCCCCTCCGCAAGAAGATGCTTGGTTATGGTATTAAGATTGGTGATCTCTACTACTTGGACTTCAACCGGAATTTCCCCCCTTCTACTTCTCGGACTTGCACTGCTATTCCTGCATCTGAAGCCTCCTTTCAAGTTTGGCTATGGCATCGTAGACTAGGACATTTATCCTTTGGTTATCTACTTAAGTTGTTCCCTCATTTATTTTCTTCAATAAAAGTTTCTCAATTCCAATGTAATACTTGTGAATTGGCAAAAAGCCACAAAGTTTCCTATCTTCCAAGTATGAATAAAAGTTCCATTCCTTTTGAAGTAGTTCACACTGATGTTTGGGGCCCTGCAAAAATTCCTACCCTTTCAAAAAAATTCTATTACATTACTTTTATTGACGAATGTACTCGTATGACATGGATTACTCTTTTATCTCATAAAAGTGAAACATTCTCTGCATTTAGAGTATTCTGTAGCATGGTCCACACTCAATTTCAGTCCTCTGTTCGAACCCTTCAATTTGACAATGGTTCTGAATACATTAACTCTCACTTTGCTATATACCTCACCACTCATGGGAATAAACACCAAACCTCCTGTCCATATACTCCCCAACAAAATGGCCTTGCTGAGCGAAAGAATAGGCACCTCCTTGAGGTTGTCCGGGCTTCCTTATTTGATATGAATGTCCCTCGCCATTATTGGGGCGAAGCTGTAATTTTTGCTACTTACCTCATTAACCGTACACCTTCCCGTGCTCTTCATTTTCTTACTCCCCAACAAAAGCTAGAATCCTTTTATTCCATTCCTCATATCCCGAATTTAGAACCACGTGTGTTTGGATGTGTAGCCTATGTACATGTTCCTAAAGTTCTTCGCAATAAATTGGACCCATGTTCCAAGAAGTGTATTTTTTTGGGATATTTCGAAGTGCAAAAAGGCTATAGGTGTTATGATCCCAGCCTTCGAAAACTGTATGTAACTATGGATGTCTCTTTTCGGGAATGTGAGCCATTCTACTCAGGGGGAGCTTTACCCTCTTCTCCTCCGGGGGAGAATCATTATGGAGGAGAATTTTTCAATGAGATTCCAATCACCTCACAGCATATTCAAACCTCGGACTTCAGTACAGACCTTTATGGAGCAGAGAATCCTACCTCGGACCTCACTACAGATCCTCATGGAGCAGAACATGATATACAAGGCTCATCAATCTTAACCTCCATAACTGAGCAACCTTCTTCGGATGTCCAGAATAATACAAATCAGACAGAAACCGAGGTAATTCCTGACCCAGATTCTTCTATTAATCCCTCTATTCCCACACAACCCACTTCTGTATTAAGAAGATCGGAAAGAGTCACAAAAGGTGTTCCCCGGAAATTATATGAACCTAATCCACATGCCTCTGTTAAATACCCAATTGGAAATTATGTGTCAACGGAAAAATTATCTGAATCATATGCATTGGCTACTAATCAATTATCTAGCATATGTATTCCTACAAATGTGCAGGAAGCAATAGCAGACCCGAATTGGAAAAAAGCTATGGAAGTAGAAATGGAAGCTCTTCACAAAAACTCTACTTGGGACTAGTTTCTCTACCTACTGAAAAACAAAGCATAGGCTGCAAATGGGTATTTACCCTGAAACTAAAACCTGATGGTAGCCTGGATAGATATAAAGCAAGACTCGTTGCAAAGGGATACACACAAAAGTTTGGCATTGATTATCAAGAAACATTTGCACCCGTAGCCAAACTCAACACCATCAGAATTCTAATATCCATAGCAGCCCAAAATGATTGGCCCTTGAAGCAATTCGATGTGAAGAATGCCTTTCTGAATGGAGATCTAGAAGAGGAAGTGTATATGGACATTCCACCAG